CTCCAGTGACAGCCACAGGCAGGCTCCTCCGGGGCCTTGGAGAACAAAGATGTTCACAGGTGTCCAGTTCTGGGCCCCACAGTTCAAGAAGGACAGGGAACTGCTTGAGAGAGTCCAGCACAGAGCCACCAAGATGATTAAGGGAGTGGAGCATCTCCCTTATGAGGAAAGGCTGCAGGAGCTGGGTCTCTTCAGCTTGGAGAAGAGGAGACTGAGGGGTGACCTCATTAATATTTATAAATATGTTAAGGACAAATGTCAGGAGGATGTAGCCAGGCTCTTCTCAGTGATGCCCAACGGTAGAACAAGGTGCAATGGGTGTGAGCTCGAACACAGAAGGTTCCGCTTAAACTTGAGAAAAAACTTCTGTACGGTGAGGGTGACGGCGCCCTGGAACAGGCTGCCCAGGGAGGTTGTGGAGTCTCCTTCTCTGGAGACATTCAAGATCCGCCTGGACACCTTCCTGTGTGATCTCATTTAGGTTCCTGGACTAGATGATCTTTCGAGGTCCCTTCCAATCCCTGACATTCTGTGATACTTCTGCAGTGGTGGCTTGGCAAATATAGACATCTTCAGATGGTGGGACAATTTATTCCCTCTCTTAGCCTAATCTTTTAACTTTGCCTGTTTTTGTAAGAGAGTCCAAATATTCTTAAATATATATTGTACTGATGCCAGTTTGCTGCATAAAAGGCTCAGCGCAAACAGCTCTCCTTTGCTTAAGCAGCTTTTTGTCTACCCCTCTTTTCACACAAGCAGGATCTACTAGGACAGTCGTGTTGGCTTTGCACGTCGCTCAAAGGTGGCCTAACACGTGAAGTCCACCTTGCTGCTCCTTGTGAAAAGGAGGGGAACAGAGCCAGAGAGAGCTTTTAGGCATATCCACATTGTATGATCTTCAAGTGTCCTACGATTATTTTTTTTTTCCCCCCAATTTTCTGCTATGAGCTAAAATTGTGTCCCATCCCACGTGCTGAGCTCATGAGCTATATGAATGCAAGTCACTCCTTGGTCCTCTGCCTAAATACCACAGGAGAGCAGCCTACGTGCAGCTGCTCCACAGCCTCTCCCCTTCAACACCAACAGGAAGGAAAAGCATGGCTAGGAAAGGCAAGATCCATGCATTTCCACCACCCCGCACACCAGCGGTAGCACATTTGTATCTACACAGGGAGCACCCACTGCTTAGGGCCAGGAAGAAGTGCGAGGGAAGCCAAAACTCACAGCTGCAGTCTACATGCTGCTAGGGAGCCACAGTCAGGGTGCACCCCCAGTGTCACCCCCCACCTTCCCCAGCACTGGCCAAGAGCTCTGGTCTCACACCAAGGAGGCAGGGGCTCCATTCCACCCACTCCCAGGGCCTTTTGCTTCACAAGGCTGGATGCGCTTTTAACTTCTTAGAACGCAACGCTCTGCTCCTCTCTTTCCATTTGTGAGAGTGAACAGCTCCCAAGTGTAAGAGTAGCTGGGCTGCCCTTACTCAGAGGAGTATTGACAAAACATGTGTAATTATGCAAACACAAGCCTACTTTAACCTTTAGAGAATCTCAAATTTTTAGCTACTTAGTGTAAAGCACACAGCTATGAATAAAACCTTTTTTTTTTTTCCCATTAATGCTTGTTTAGGTTAAAGCCTAGGATTAGCAGTGCTCTAAGTATTTTAAGACAGTATTGTGTTAGTAATTATTTAGTTTAGTCTCAATTCAGTTTTGCTCTTTCATTAAGTACCCCTCCATGACCAGAGTCAGGATGTAGGCTGAGTCAAAACATTTGTAGGAAATTTGTCCATGTGCAGGGGGAGATCTGAAATACCCCTGCAAGAAACAGAAAAGATTTATGTGGGCACAGAAATAACTGATGCACTCACAGACACACACCAGTATTTACCTGTCTCTATAGAACTTGATCCTCACAGGTGTAGAACACCACTCATCTAGTGACATTATTGAAGTAAATAAAAGCTAACTAGAAAATGCTCAGTTTTTGGAAATAAAAATACATCTATCAATTCAGATTTGATATATGCAGCTCTCTACCCCTACACACGTAAGTATGTAACAGTGTGTACACCGATGTGTGTACACATGTTCACAGGCTTACTTTCGTAAGAGCCTCCTCTTCAACCAGTTCACCACAGGGAAATCTGTATTTTGAGAGGTTGAGTGTGCCGCACCTTTTTTTGCCCTTATCCTTTCAAACTTTGCTGCAGGTTTGAGCAGGGCATCTGAAATGGCTGAGTTCTTCAAAGCAGCTCAGAACAGATCTGAAGCAAGATTCTGTGTTCTTCACAGGCAAGGAAACACTTTGTCTGTGGTATGGCAACAGAAACACTTGAGCAGTACAATCTATTATGAACAAAACAGAGAAGTTTCAGGGAAAGCAATTTGTCCGAGCTGGACAATGAAAGACGAGTGCTTATCTTTTTGTGGAACATCCGTATGAAAGATGTGGCATTCTTAAAAGTATCTTGATACTCAGTTATGAGCAGGACGACTCATCCTACACCCTACTTCTGCACACAGGAAGGGAAGAGCTAATAGCAGAAGAATTTTCTTTTGGCGGTGGGAACAACTGCATGATGATTATCCCCCACCCTGTGTGGGATTCCACTGGAGATCAAGGATGCCCTGGCCAAGCGTTGGGGCATTACCACATATTTGTGGAAGTCTCTCAGCTTTTATTAATTAGATTCCTGACAACACAATAAAACCCTGTAGCAGAAAGCCACACTGCTCATTCCTGAATCATATGAAATCATTCACCATTTTATGTACAAGTTTTGAATTACAATCTTCAACTTCTCATCAGAAAAAAAACCAAAAAGCCTAAAAAAAGCATTTTTGGCAGAACTGCACAGTGTACAGAAGCATACTTTTCAATTACACAGTATCTTACAGAACACATACTGTAACAAAAAGCAGAGCCTGTTACCTTTTCTGAGAAGGCAGAGCCCAGACAAAACTAGATGTTTCACCTCCATTACTAGAGGAACAGCTTCAACTGGACAAAAGATTACATGAAAAAATTCCTGAACACTCCAGATAGTTTAACAGAAAAATAAAAGTACATTTGTAAACAACTTTAAAACAAGAGTCTTATGAAAATAATAAAGGTTGCTGAAAATTAAGCTGTTAAACTTTTCTTAGCCCAAACCACTATATTCTACCTTTACAGTTTGTTTTTTGATTTTTTTTTTTTTTTAAATGACACACAGATTTTTGCCACACAGAACGCTTCAGTGAGAAATCTGGGCAAACACTTTTAAAATTCTTGGTGGAATTAAGAAAGGGACAATTGAAGGCAAAACATCAAACTCCAAATTCCCTTTGTAAGTTACAAGAGCAATATAACCTAGCTATTGAACGGAGCCAAGTTCAACAGTGTGTGGTAGCACAGTACTTATTTTACAATCTGAGACCCTTTTAAATGTCAACCCTGAAGTCATAAGCAACTGTTAGAACAGATTTTTGTATTGTGTACCATTAAGTTAGCATTGCATTCAATTTCATTATTCAAACTGTGCCATAAAGTGACTTTGCATAGACAATACTCATTTACCTTAAGTGTGACAAGGCATACTGTAAAAACTGTCCTGGGAAATGATTTTGTGTATTTAATTATCAACACGCATCTAAGCTTGAGCATTAGTATTTAAGCTGCTCTACTTCCTGCTTCAGCATATGTTAAGCAAGCTGCTGACCACTGAGTGTGTCCATTTTGGTAGATGGACAGATGTACATGAACAGCAATGCTCTGGGTAACTTGTGCTATTCCTAAGACTACAGTTATTTTCTCTGCCAATTACATTTTGCCATAAATATGTGTGCCCTTAAGTTGATCCCAATATCAGTTTTCAGCTAACTAATCAAATTATCTGCTAAGGTTTTGGGAATGATAACCCTTCCTTTATTTAAATAAAATGAGGGAAGGGCTTCTAACTCCCAAAGGTTTTCCAACAATAGAGTTATTTTCAAGACAGGATGACACTGCTCAGTAAACTGTTCGTCATCTTTGCTGTTCACAGATAAGCACAACAGTATTTATGTTTGTTATCAGGTATGCAGGAAGGGGAAGAGAAAATACTGGGAGGTTTTTACCCTTAATGTTTTTCCAAGTTCTGCTCATGGGCTCTTATTAAGAATTACTCATTTGAAATAAGCATTATATAAAATTTCAGAGTACTTCTCTTATATTTTGAGGGCTCAGCAGCTAAACTTCAATTTTCTATTTTCCTTTTGCAAAAGAGTGTTATTAAGACCCTGCCCACTACTGAGTATGCCAAGAGCTTATGTAAGGAATAATTTTTCATTATATTTAGAAGTGCCTCATTTTTGTACCAGCTAAAAGTTAATTCATAATCCAAATAATCAATCTGCAATGTAAACAAGTAGTTATTTTCTCCCATGTAATAATGGTTAAATAATGACACTGATTTACATATTCTGCTTGAGTTCATTAAATGCAGTTCTTCAGTCACAAAGGCAGCAGGCATTCTGTAATGGACTTCCTTTGAACTATGTTCAAATGAGTGGAATAACTGAGATTCCTGATGGAGACCTAAGCCATTTCCCTCATTTTCTTAATGGCTTCCGCTATTTGCATACTCAACTCCATTTCATAATTTGCTATTTTAAATAAATTCATTTCCCCAAACCCTTCTTTCCCTATACTATTTACATTTATGGTAAATGCTTTTTTACTTTTATGGTAAATGCTTTTCAGCAAATAAGTTGTAAGGAAACAAACAAAAAAAAATAATCCAAGAGTGGTCTCAAGGGAGCAAGTATTTAAAGTTTTGTATTAATTTGCTTTCTGAATTTCCTTCCAAAGATGCTACAGGGACAAAAGCTTTAAAGGTTTAAAACGCACTTTCACACATTTTTCATTCTTTCTTTTATAACAAGGGACAAGCTTTGCCCAGTGAATCACCTTCATAACTTTTGCCCAGTAACTAAATGAAACTGCACGTCATTCCCCCCAAGAAAGTAAAGAAAATACAGTTTTTTACTTCAAATATTTTATGAATGCAAGATTACAAGAAATATGTTAGTCAAAATGCAGGGCTATCAAGCACTGAACCAAGGATGCTGGCATCAGTTTGCCTACCATTTTGCATGTGGAAAAAATACACTACGTCTACAGGTAAAAGGCATCACTAATGCATCATGAATTACTCTGGTCAGCCAGCATCACCTCTGCAGCTTGGTGCATGTTTAAGTCCTGAAAATAATCATCATATTAACAGTTTGAGATGAGACACTGGAACAAAACCATTCTTAAAGAGGAAAGTTTTTGTTTTGCTCTTATCGAGGTAACACCAAAAACCAAAACCAAGATCTTACAATTTAGCAGCCACCTGAACACTTGTTAGGCTAGCCTTCACACAAGGAGCATGCATACAGCCACTGTTCTTCCTTTAAATTGAGGGCTGTTGGTTAATTCAAGTCACTTTTTTCTCACCTTATTTGATTAACCCGTTGAACTGGATGTCCACCATAGGAAAAAGAAAATTAAATGATGGTAAGTGTAGCAGACAAATACAGATCACACCAAGAAGCTAACACTCATGAGTTGTCATAATAAGAGATAATAAGAACAATAAAAAAAAATATCAGTCTTTTCTGTGCATATTTTTCATTTGAAAGGTCCCAGGAAATCATGATGTGCCTGGTCGTTTCTGTTGCTGATTTCTGATGACCTCTAATTGTTTTTTGCATTGCTGATAGTAAGTTGAGAGACTTTTGTTTTCATCTAACAGCTTTTTATGTTCTTGTACCAGACGGGATGTGTTTTGCTGGTCTTTTTCATCCTGGTCCAGTTCTGCTATTAGTTCTTGTCTAAAATTAGAAAAAAAAGGTAATTATCATTTATAATCTACTTCTATTTGTGTGTAGATGGCTTCATATGTTTCAAATCAGTATTTGATTATCAGTCTGAACTTGTGGCCAGTCATATTTTTTGCAAAAATAAAATAATTTGGCAAAAAAAAAAATAATTTACTATTTGCTGTAGTCTGGGAAAAATTATCTTCCAAATCAAATCCGTATTTAAACTTCAAACTAGCTGCAAGCCATAGCCTTAATCTCTAGAACTGTCCTTTATATAATGCCTTTCAGACATGGTTCTATGTGTCACATTAGAACATCTAAGGATTCACATAGAATTTCATAAATATATGCAACTCTAACTTTGCTTAAATATATTTACATTTAAAAACTCAAAAAGCAACTTAAAAGGCAAAACTGCAATTATTTTAGTAACTTTTTAGTGAAGTACTGTTTTCTATTTGGACTTGAATTTCTCAAAGCAGTGAAAAAGCAGAATCAAGCAAATTATTTTTCTAACTGTCATTTCACTTAATTTATGCCATAAGCGTACAATATGTTTTTTAGCAACAATTTTAGAGGAACAAACACACTGATAAACTTACTATAAATTATCCTGCAAAACTGATGTAGCAGTTTGTTTTACTGTTTGTTTATGAGGTGACAAGTAGGCAAGCTGCCAGTAGTATTTTAGCAACAAAATAGTAGAAGGCAGTTCATGTAAATTAATTGTTGCCATATGGTTTGTAATTACAGTTAAAGAAAATGTAATTATTCTATAAAGTCTGAACTAATAATCAGCTTAACCAGCAATAAATTAATCAATCACAATACATTTTTTTCTTTTAACATCTATGGGCGATTATGTTCTGACTAAGAAAAAATAGTTTGGGAGAAATGTGTATGCAGACTTTCTAGAAAAAAGATAATGTAGGAATTAGAAGTTTAGAAACTGAAACACATTTTTATATAACTTATTGACCCTTAGGGACAAGAGAAATAAAACCAAAATTAGGATCTTCATGCTAGCTTCAGTATCTCCTCATGAAGTCTAAAGATTCTAGTTGCATTTGAAAAAAAAATTGTTCTCAGGACGCTAAGCCAAAAGTGATTAAATGATAGAAGGCTGACCTTACAGTAGCTCTTCCCCTGTTCTGTACACTATTTCTAATCTATAAGAGGTTTATGCACACATTTTTCTTATTAGCTATTCCACAAACACCAAGGCAAGCTCCTCATTAGCAACCAGTTGCCTGCAGTGACTCAGACACTGGTGGATAACAGGCAGGTGACTTGGTCTAGCATGCGAATATATAATGACCTCTCAGGTGTGCTCCCCAGCCAGGAAACAAAAATGATGAGAAGCAGAACACAACAGAAGGTATTACAAACTCAAACTCTGAATCAGTAGTACCTTTGGCCCTAATCCAACAATATATGCAGTTGCTTCACTTCTATGTGTACACAATGCAAGAGGAAAGAGTTTATTTCTAGTGCTCAAGGATAAGAAGGTACTTAACAGCTCTTAAGTATTAGCTCCTAAACCCCTGGAAGGAAAACACAAGATGTGTGTTGATAATACTGTTGTAAATGTGATGATTGACAATGATCAATCATTTATAAGATAAAAACTAAATGCAATGTTCGTAAGATAAAAAGTAACTGCAAAATGAGTAACATTGTCATACTACTAAAAATTCTATAATCCAGTATCCAAGTGATTATCTACAAATTACAGTTGAAAATCTTTTACTGGACACCATTGGAAATAAAATTTCAAGGTTCCTCAACAGTCCAGGTCTTTAATTTGAGACAATACAAACAAACATTACTAGTACCTTACATACACAGACATGCCACACACTTCAAAGTAGGACTTGTCCAGAGAAGAGTCTTGATATTGATTAAAACTTTCAGTTACCTGCTGTAAATATCTCACCTGTACTGAGCAGCTCAGTATTTCTGAGAATAAGGCTGGAAAATAATTATTCCCTATGAAAAGTTACTTTATAAAGCCAGAAATAATAGTCAAAGGTAACAGACTTTGTGTAAAAGAAACATACAGAAAACCAGAAAAGGTTAAAACACATTTCACTTACTTCCTCTGCAACAGCAATGCAATTTCTGTCTGAACTTTCATATATTCTTGCGCCATTTTGCAGTGCTGTTCAAACACAGCCATAGATTCTTTGGAGTTTGGGCATGGTGCTAGAGGCTGAAAATAAATCAGACATGTTAAAAACTAATGAACTGATACCTTAGTATATAGTGTGTTAGAATGTCTCTGCAGTGTATTTATAACATCTTCTAAAAATCAGTAAGCTTTTAAAAATAAGTGTTAAACCATGCCCTGGAAAATGTTACTGCACTGATGTCAAAGTTGACTCAAACCTCAAATCTGCAGTTATTAACCTGACACTCTCTCTGTCACAAAAATCAAAGTAGTGTTTAATCCCACACACAACAAATAAAGTAAATACAACAATTTAATTCAGTAATACTCAAGCAAATAATGTTTTATTTTGACAGTCAAACACAGTTTACATTTGGTTTTAGGGATCATGTTTCCCAGGGCTTGTTTTTAATAGCTTGATCAAATTTAAGTCAACCAATCTCAGGTTACATAATATTTTTTTAGCCTTGGTCAAAAGTTAGACAGAATATAAACACAGGTAAATATGTGGCACTATGTTTCCCAGCCCCAAATTCACATATTATAATAAAGTGCAAGATAAAGAATCTAATAAAACTTATATTTATTACCTGTAACTGATGATCTAATGTAAGATATGCCATTGGGATAGAGTTATCTGACCCATTGGTCTCTGTAACAATACCAAGAAAACTTTAATGTATTTTCAGAGTTAACTCTATTCTTATAGGACAAAAACAGTAATTCTAAATTGTTTCACAATACACAATCTGAATGTGGAAAGGCAAATGGAAATAGCAGCGTTCCAATCCCAAGGCAGATGAATCATTTTGTTTTTTTGATACAGTTACAAAATTCAACAGTATGGTCTATCACACCAAGAAGAAATAAAGATTGAGATTATCATCCTACACTTCTAGAAGCCATGTAACAGCATACAGATTTAAAAAAAAAAAGAAATTTTTGCAGTTTGCAATCACATTATCTACTTATAAAAATTTTGCCATTTCATTCTTGTTTATGAAGGATCAGCCAGCCAGCCCATGCATCTAATGATTTTAAAATTAGAAGCTGTGCAAACCAGCTCTGCCAAAATAAAATAAGCACAACCTCCAGCTCAGTTTTGAAACCTGCTCCCAGCAAGGTCTGTAAGTATCTTCCTCACAACATGCTCTAGGGCACCTTCTCTGCTCTGTAGAGATACTTTGTGGGTAGCAATGAACCCAATAACCAGTCTATCTCCTGGGCCTGGCTGCTCTCTTCTTACACTGTAGTAACTCTGGATTTCTCTAGTGCTTTCATTCCAGATTTAACATGTTTCCGAACTCTTACACATCCTATCTTTTGGTAGCCCACAATCTGGGGTTCACAAGCTGACTGTTAAGCTTTAAAAGACATAGGAGTAAAGACAAATGGAGAAACTACTGATTTTATAGCTGCGTTATTGCTACTAGAGGATTACATGGAGGAGGGTAGGTGGGAAAAAAAAGGGGCTGCTTACCCATACCCCAAAAGCACCTGCCACAGAGTAGTCGTGGTAGAGAAACTAAGGTGTTGCCCTCAAAGACTATGCTATCTCCAAGAGCAGCTTCAAAAGGAAACAGAAATAAGAGGGTGGGAATGGAGAAAAAGTGGTTAAGTGTATGCTTGTAAGGAAACTGGAAGGTGGTAAAAAAGAAAAGAAAAAAGAAAACCAACAACCCTAAAACCAGACTTAATCACCACAGTATCTTAAATGCGAACGATATAAGAAGTCCTTTCCTGCATTAGACTACTGCCATATACAGAATACCACTACAGCAAAGGAATTATAGTAATGTTTCGAATACATCAATACATGCAAAATACTTCAGATTACATCCCTGAGCATTTCAGCACCGTGTCACAGTGACTTTTCCTGTGACTGACCAGATTTGGCTGCATCCTCATTTTATAATTTTGTCTCATTAACTTAAAAACACGCCCTCTTTTACAGAAAATTAAAATTATTTCTCTCTTTAGAAATTCAAACAATTCTTTGTTCATGGACTGCATAAACCTAGCTAGAAAAAATATACATGTGGTACATTCTGTATTTACCTGAGTATAAGGTGAGGGATTTCTGTGGGCCAGAAAACAGACCTGACTTTTAGCTTTAGTGCTGTGCTGCATTTAAGGCCAAAGCGTTGGGACAAACTGCCTGTGCACTGGCATACGATCAGCAACTTCCAGTTCCCAATGAACTACTGATTGGGTAAGAGCTTGCTTCCATGGGAGGCAGCTATTCCCATAAGTGCTCAGTGCCCAAAGCAACTCGAGACCTATGCTATACAAAAGAGGGCACAGGGTGGGCTGTGGCTGTAGGCAAGGGCTCTGGGAAATAAATTATGAGTGACAAGGCACAGAGTGTGATCAGGCAGAGTGACAACGGACAGAAAGAAGAAAGCACAGAAGCAAAATACAGGAGTATATTGCCCTCCTCCCACTAAAACAGGGTGGGGGTAAAAAGAGAAGGGCACATCTTATATACAGAATCACCTTATATTTGGTAAAATACAAGTGTGCATATATATATATATATATATGCCTATGCAAGAGTCAGTCCACATGTTGAGTTTCCATTTTGCAGTTGGTCACAGGAAAAGAATTTAAAAAATCTGATCAGCCAAAAATGAAATGGATCACAAGAAAAAGATTTCAGAATTTGAGGCACTATGAGGTACCAGCCAGAGACTCAGTTTAAGATCCAACACGCACACTTTGATATAAAAAATTGTAATTTTTATTTATATTCTAGAAAGAAGTTTGTGGGGATCCATTGTTTTCATGCAGTCCAGGACTGGTTCTTTCCATAACGGAGTGCATTATGAGTTTTAAAACTGAATTAAAGCATTAGATTATATTCATTCTTAATCCTATTTCACAACAAAAGAACAGTGATGCTACAGTAGTATTTACAACACTTCTGCAGACACATTTATGTTGGTTCATTTAAAACAGTAAGATTGTGTGCACGTACATTCTGCGTAAGCAAAATTACAACATAGACAAAAACCAGAATTAACATATTCCAGCTGATACTCACCTACAGAGCATTTCATTCCAGAAGCCAGAGCAATGATAGCTTTAACTGTGCATTCATAATACAAATGCACAAGACTAAAATGCTCTTAGATGTCTATGTCCCTAATTCCACAAAACCACACTACAATCAGAAACTGCTGCTAAAAGATCTGCATTAAATACTCCTATCATTGCATATGTACTTTCTTACAAGTAAAATGCTTACAAGTTTACGTAACTTAGTATAATGTATATAAAAAAATTCTTAAAGCCAGTGTGCAAAACCAAGCAGTAATGATTTAATTTAAGCAGAACTAAAATGGATTGTGACTTTCACTGCTTAATTTTGCTAATGTCTATGCAAACACCTCACACAATAATAAAATACATAGTTTTAATTTTTTTACAGGCAAAAAAGTTAACTAATGAACAAAGGATTACCTGCATCATCAGGTGTCCATGGATTACGAGTTGGCTTTTCAGAGGTTGGTCCCGAGGTAGTGATCATTCTCACACTAGGACTAGATGATCTACTGCTGTTTCTACTCTCCTGAAATAATAGAACAAAATAAAATTACAAGAAAAATTAACAGAAGATTTTTTGAAGGGTTCATTTTAAAAAACATTATTAAAAAGAAAAAAAAATGTGAAAAAACCTGAACCTATAATCCTCCCAAATACCCTCCTCTGCAAACTTGTACCCTGAAAGCTCTCCAGATAGTTTGATAAACTTTACATGAATTGCAGGTATAACTTTTCCATTTCCATTTCTACTCCATCTTTACCGTATAAAAAAGAAATGGATTCAATTTGGCTATTCAGCATAATAAAAAGCAGTGCTGCTGAACAACGTGTTCAAAATCTTAATACAAAAGCACTATGCTGTGTCTTGTGATTTTCACACCACCATTCAGTGAAATCCAGCAGCTCCATAACATAAGAAAGAAATTAAGTTTGTTTCCAATGTTTAATCAATGAATGGAAGTACATTCAACTAAAGGAACTGCACTAGACTGCAGTGTATTAATCTACAATTTTTTAATTATTCTAATGTTAACTCAGAGGTTATGTGATTCAACTACAGAAAACAGGAAAGTCAACAAAAAATTGATTGATCAAAAAAGATCAATCAACTAAAGCAGAGCAATTAGAAATGAATACATTCTCACAAAGCAAACTAAAAACTAAAACAAAATTCTGTAGGAAGTTCCTTTATACACAGCTTGACTTCTCCAATCCTTTTGTTACCAAAGCGTAAAACCAGATTTCATATAATACAGACTTCATTATTCTACTGAGTTTCTTTTTCAGAATTATTTACAATATATATTCTTGTATTTCATATACCCCCTCACTGACATAAAATTAACACAGTAAAGGACTTAAGATGATAAACCACAGAAAGTTTGGCAGAAAAAAAATGAAGTAAAAAGAAAAGATGCCATTAAAATACAACTGTTTCCAATATGGTGTATTTATCATGAAGTGACTAATTAAATGTCCCTATTTTTCAAAAGAAGCACTCAAATATACATTACCTGGAAAATGTATTTCTTTATGACTCTAATTTCCAAATATCCTGTCTTAATTTAATTTAATTTAATTTTTAAAAGCTATTATTTCAGTCAAGCAACGACCCAAAGAGTAGTAAGATTCTACACACTGAAATATCCATTATTTAAACTGCATTACATTTCTCCTGGAATTTTTATTAGCCATTTAGAGTTTTCTGTTAGTAGCAGAAACAGGGCAATAAACTACTGTAGAAATAATTCAATGGATGATGTTATCAGGATGATGGTGTCAGACATTTTGAAAAAGCTTGAGTGTTTGTTGACATCAAGCAAGGTTTAAGTTGCTGACCTGTCAGTGTCCTCCCATATGAATGATAAACACCTTGCTGATGTGAAAGGTCAGAAGAGAGAGCAAGAACTTTTAACAGTGTGTAAGTCCTTTAAGCAAAAAGAGATTTGTTGACTACCCAGTTGATAGCAAAGGACACCTGAGAAGTACTCAAGTTACAGTAACATTTCAATGCTGTACTAGATTGCTTGCTGTACCAGATCATTTTGATTCATCAACAGAAAACAAACATTTCCTTGGTAACATTATTTTGACAAAATCACTAGAGATAGAAATGAAGGATTTGTGTCTGAAGCCTTTGCAGTGTGGAAAAGCTGGCATGCTTTGAGGAATAATCAATCCCTCCTTAAGTTTAATTTAAATGGGCAACCCAATTTAAAGAAGTCTTTGTTACTAGCCCTGACTCCTCATCTGTGGGTTTTATCTCGCTGTGAAAGGTGGGGGGGAGAAGTGTATCTGTGACCAATTCCACAATCTCATGGACTGAATGATTCATCTGTATAGTATCAGATCTCCCAAATTATCACAGTTGGCTTGCATGCATGTGGGCACGTACATTCTGACCTTGCTTCTCAACTGTTCAATGCAGTACATGGTTTTATTTAATATATTAATTTAGATATATTATATATTAATATATTTAATACATTTTTTTCCACTTCAAAGTAAACTGTAAGAGCTACGAAGGCCCAGTAACAGTCATTTAAAAAGAAAAAAAAAAAAAAAAAGGTTTAAAAGAGTTTTGATATTATGATAGTACTGTGAAAGATGATGTACCAGGGCAACCAAACCAATATAAGATAAACAGGCAAGGACATGGGTACCTTACTAAGCATCTGATCACAACCTGTAGTTCTTGAGTGATCATGCCAAATATGTTTCTTGGTATCTGCATAAAAAAATCAAATTCTGTAAAGATTCTATCTAGTGTCAATAGAAGGTTAGCTGTGTTCATTCAAGCCTCCAAAAGTTTTTATGGCTGCAGTTCAGAGTCTGCACATCTGTTTCTGTGTTACAAAGGTATCTAGGCAAGAGCACAAGTGCTGGACAGATGATACAACACAATGTTTTAAAATGCAGGGACAGGGAAATGGAAAGGCAGAAAAAACATGCAGTGCAAAAAAAAAAATGTATGCAGAAAAATTAATAGAGCATCACAGTATATGGATGGAAACAAATGGAAATGTAGCATTTGACTGTACAGAGAGGGGCTGCATCAGTGCTGCTCATGGAGTAAGGTCCACTGTAAGCTTACCAAGTACTAGAGAAATCTGTAAAAAATTGGACTTAAACACATGTTCTCAACACTGAACCACTCTAACAGCTGATCCAATGACGGAAAACCTTTGGCTTAGTCTTACTTTCCTATCTAAACTGTTGATGTAAAAGGGTCAGTTAAGTAGTAAAATCATCTGCAAAGCACTGTTACTGTCTGCTGTTGATAGCATCAGTAAGAGCAATACTAGAAAATACCTTAAGTGTCTCAACAACATAAAAATAGTAATCATCAGCCACACAAACCACACAAAAAATTCTTCTAACAGTACAAAGAAATGAAATATACATACAATCACAGAACATACAAGAAGGTCAGATTAAAACAGACCAGTAGTTAAACATGGACACAAGAGTCTTGGTCTATACCCTTTCAGGTAAGCACCCCAAATTTTGATATATTTCTTATTATCAAGTCCAGTGTTTTCCTCAACCTCAACAAAAATTCTGTTCCGAATTGGAAAGACCTTCCTGATTAAAAAAAAACCTGGTTCTAAAAGAATAATTTCCTATTGACACAGTGGCAAATTTCAGGAAAAACACACTTAATAAAAAGATTTCTGATCAGCTTTAGCATCTTAGTCAAACAGTTAAAAAAAAAAAGCTAGCACCATTACAATACTTAAATTTTTAGCAGGATAGGGGCTTACAAGGGCTGGGTGTGGGAGCAGAGGCACGCAGTGCCAAGGCAGCTTGGTGAAGAAGGCTGCGTCGTACGGGTGTAAAGGAGAACGGAATGTGAGGAAGAAGGATGTTTGCAATGAAGGGAGGGAGGGGAAGGGGATTTTCACATTGGAAAGGATAACCTATATATGGTATTGTGCATACAGGGAGATATGATAAGCTGACCAGATGTTTTTTCTGCTTTGGATAGCAGATTGCTTATACAGATACTAGTTCAAGATTTTTAATAAAAATTCAAGGCAGTGAGGTCTAGAGCTATAGAAACTCATAAAAAGTAATCGTAAGTCTTTTGATGTAATTTCACTGTGCTTACTTTCTTCATTGTTTTCTGATTTATTAAAAAAAACAGAAAAACATATATGTCAAATGTTAGCATTAGTTTCAGCAGACTTTTCTGTCTCTTCTTGGTGAATGAAAACTCAATATTCTTTTACATGGACAGTGCAAACTTCTTCTAAAGTGCATTTTTCATGCCTGTTATATTCTGTTTTACTGATTTTATTGTAACTTTTCAAAAAACTGCAAGATAGAAGCAGATAACCAATTCTTCCACTTAGATTTCCTATATGTACCCTACCATAAGCAAGAAAGTAAAACATGATCCTGGTACTTCTACAGATCCTCATCAGAAATTGGTGAGGTAAACAAACCAAACTTTTCTGTATCCTCCTGGTCACAAGGACAATTTAGCTAGAACATCCATACAAACAGTAGAACAGCTTTCAAAGAAAGATTATTATAATAGTTATTAAGATATTAAGTAAATGCTGAAATTCTATGTTTTGAAATATTAACCATTAATTCAAATGAACAGAATGAAAAATTTTAAATAAAAAAGCTGTAATTAAATATATTCATGTATCAATCAGTGCAATTTGGTATAACTGATGTACTGTCACTTAATTTTTCCCCCCCAAGTTCCTCATAATTTTAGTTCTACCTTTATTAAATTCTGCAGATTCATTTCTTTCTAACATACCTGTCTTCTCTGAAGGTATTAAAAATGTATTTAAGACTCGTTATTTTCTGATAGATGTACATAGTAAATTCTACCAATAATACCTGGGGGACTGATAAGGTTTCTGTGGCTACCACACTCCACAGAATTAAAGAAGGATCAAACATTGATCTCCCTGATAACTGAACACCCCCAAAATTACCACCTATTTTAGATTACTGCAGCAGGTTGTTTAATATGGAAACCTGATTAACCTGATGAATATGCTAAGCTCCAGTTTCCCGCATCCAAACAGCAGGGATCTCAAAATTGTCAATTCACACTAACGACCAAATAGCCTCTGTGAATTACTGAAACAGACAATAAAGCAATTAAAGCCACCAAACAAACACATCTGAATGAAGTATTAGCTGCACTTTTCTCATTTAACATGTTCTTAGTTTAATTTCAATTTTATGTAGCATACCACTGTGTCTGTTACTAAGGCACTGACAATACCAGATAAGAAGTTATGTTATTACAGATAGGCTTTTTTAAAACAAATTTGTGACATCACCCTTCTGTAAACTTTTCACAAGCAATGGAGAGATACTACTGTAAGTTACTATTCAGGGTTCAGAAATTGATAATAAATGCATTTACAATACTGATGCATGTTTTTTATTTTTATGCAAAAAGTGAGTCTAATGTATGTATAAATGCTTCACACAATCAAAAGTTATAATTACAATTGTCTTCTACGTACAGAGAGGTGAAAAGGCTTTCCTGCATAACATCTGCCCTCAGTCAAATTAAATGGTACACAAAAAACACGTGTACATGAGTGATAAATGCTGCCTGAGCTATACAGAAAACACTCCTCATCTAGAGCTCATTCAGAGATTACCCTCATGGAATCTCATTTAAATGCAATACAAACAACACTACAGTCTGCCAAGCTTCCACATAACTTCTACGAAAGCATCAAAGGTGAAGACTTCCAGACCAGTTTCCTTGTACAGATTTGGTGTTGACTTTACTGAAACATAAACAAGAGACAAGAAAGAGATTACCTGACTGGACTCTGTTCCAGCAACACTAAGATCTTGAATGGATCTGCGCCTCTGCTGTCCGTTTCCTGCTGGGAAAAAAACAAAACAAAAACAAACCAGTGAAATCTATTCAGAACAAAATAAGGGTGCGACTGTTGCAGAGGAGCTTGGAATTTGTACAAATCCACAGAGAGAAAGTGAGAGGGGGGGAGAGAGAGACAGCTGCAGAATTTTAACTCAAAACATGCTGGACTGTCAACAAAAAGTATACCCTAATACAATAACCACTCCTACCACATGAATAGCTGCTGCACTCTACTCCACCATCTTCTGTCACATGTATTTGGTCAGGCTTAGTACTTGGGGCAGGAGCTGATGACGACATCTATTTCAAGTGCGTTACGTTATGGGGATTTCTAAAAGCCAGACTGTGAAGATAACAGGCTGCCAGCTTTAACCTGTTGCTCTTTGGCGTGCTCAAGGAACACAGCAAGGACTTCTGCCTGTGTGCTGCTCCCCTCACAAAAATTAAGAAACTAAAGTGCTTCCTTGTGGTCTTTGTCTCCTTCAGATGAATGAAACTATGTCCTATTCTCATGCTCTGAGAAGTGTGAAAAGGGGACTGTTCAGCTAAATCACATCTCACCATCAACCTACTGAGCACAATGCTGTAATCTTTTCCTCTTTTCCTTCCACCTGTTAGCAATTATCCACCAGTGACAGCTACATAAAACAGTTTAAATTTTAACACTGACACGCAATCAAAGGCATTTCCAGGAAACAAAGTCTTCTTAAAAATAAAAGGAGATTATGCAACAGAATCTCCCTGGCCACTTTGATTTTTATTACGGTGCTTGTTTATATTGTCTCTTAAGAGCAGGTCAGCTGTCCAAAAGGAAACACCAAAACGTCCTGAGTAACAGCTGACAATGCTCAAAATTCTTTTTCTTGGCTCTGCATTACGTAACTCTTCTACTGGAGGGAGCATCTGAAACGTGTCCAGCAGCCGCGACAGCCCCTCGCCCAGCGACCCTGCACACAACAGCCAACCTGCCTCACCCAAAGCCCTGTAACAGGCATCCCATTTTTAACCTTTTAGATACTTCTTATTCAGTATCATTTCCACATGACTCCACAGACTATCTTGACAGGTGTTTGATTTCCAACAGTTACTACAAAAAACTATGACTATTCAATATTAATCAAAACATTTAACGGTATCATACCTGAATTTTTTAAATATACGTACTATCACACATAGGAACACATTACCACAAAACAGCAATACAAAATTCTCAGTGTCACTTTCCCAATTTGTCATGACATTTTATAGTCTAAAATTTATAGGATGTACTATGAGAAACAAGCATGTAAGAAAATCAAGAAGGATTCTAGAATGGGAATATATTCTTTGCTCTGACTGCAAATGAATTTAAATTGCAACTTTTCTGTGGTCTTGATCTTTTGCTTCTGAAATTCAGGGAAAGTATATACTTACCTATACAACAATGTTGCTATATTATGTTTAAAACTTCATCAGAGATTGTGTGAATGGCGAACCTACCTCCAAATTTCTGAGCTTGTTCATTTGCAGTGAATTATTTCACTATCTAATCATTTAACAAACAAGATTATACATTTAATAGAATTCTGTGCTGTGCACACTTCATCTGGCTGCCACAGCTCATTTCAATATTCAAGATACCAGCAATCCACCCACGACCAATACAAAATTATGTGCACATTTCATTCAACAACACTGTTACAAAATTAGCTCAGCTGAAATAGGCTTGCAAAAATATCTGAAATTCTCATTTCAGATTAGCAACATTTGTGAATTTAAAGAACTCGGCACATGTGTTGCTGAAATATTAGAACATGGCTGCCAAAATATTAAAATAATCAGGGTGGGGTGCAAGAAAGAAAAAAAAAAAATGCCGGGGTGGGGGGGGCAGGGAAGAAGGGCCAGAACTACTGTGTTGTAATAAATGAACACCTTTAAATGAAGTATCTTCAAGTTAGTAGCATGAGGGAAGAGCAAGCTCTATTAGGCAATGCCATTTTAATTAGTGTAACTAATGCAGACATCTGGCAAATAGCTTAGACAAAGCAGAAACAGACTACAAACCAACAAATACTTATTGCTCCAGATTCAAAGGCAAATTTCAATTGAAAAATACACTGTGCAACATATAATCTTTATTTGAAATAAAATCACTGCTACTTCTCTATGCTTTCCACTCACAGTTTTGATCTTGTTCTTACCTCTACATCCATTTAAAACTGATTTTTTCTCATTATAAAAATGAAGGGATTTGTAAATGCACAGAAGTTAAAATAAAGTAGCTTGATGCACTATGTCAGTATTTTAGTGGTTTACAGGATTTTACGATTAAAAATCAAACATCAGCAAGATATTTCCTGGCCTCAAAAAACCCCATTTCACATACTGCTGTTTATTTTCTAAAATGAAATTCAAAAGGAACAGGAAACTTCCATCGTGTACTGCCACACAGACTCCAGCAAAAACAAATTCCACAGCTTGTTAAGGCTTTTGATCAGCACCCCTCTGCCAAATATCCAGACCAGTTATGAACTCTTCTCCGTGCCCTTTAGCAGATACTTGCATCTCCTTTTACACTTATGTGTGCACACGACCCTCTCTTCCTTGCACACCTACAAGACCCAAAACTCTCTCACAGTGCAGGATGACCAGTGAATATAACAGTCCTAGAAGACATTTTAAAAAAGTTAAAATATTGATCTGAATTCCAGAAGAATTAAGTTATCTGGGCAGACAAGAGATGGGACTTCTGGCTTACAATTGCTTTAAAAGTAGATGGAAAAAATATAGACCTAAAGCATCTGTAATTCCTATCCACTTTCTAAAGACACTCAACAAAATGTGTCTATCCTGAGTAATCATTATGCAGTGACAATGCTACAAAAATCTCAATGCCGTGGCACAGTTTCAGATGACAAAATTACAAAGCCAAATGTATGCATGATATATGCACGAGATGTCTAATGTTGCCAGTGAAGAAAAGGCTGTACTTGAAGGTGTATTTGCTAGATGCTGTTTGACTGGTTTGTATTGAAAAGGTGTTCTGGTTACTTTTCTTGATCATGTTACAAACTGTACTTAGATTTTTTTTTTGTTTCTTTAAACTTATAGCTACTTAAGCCTTTTTTACTTAATAGGGCTTTTATTTTTCACATATATATATATGTTGGTGGTTATTAAGTATAATAAAATGTTGGTGGTTATTATGCATACTATATATTATACATACACTAGAAATTGAAAGGAAAAAAAAAAATATTGATACTTCACTTGGCTATCTGGTTGCAGGATACTACCACCACTGAAAACTCATTTATTAAGGTATTACATAAAAAAAGGAATTAGTTGATCCATTTTTCAATTTCTGAGTTTTGTAAGCTAGTAACACAAAATAGCATCTTAAATGAAAGTTTTATTCACCCTTATTTAAACCTATTTAGAAAGAAGAGAAAATATGTATTAAAAGGTTCCACTTCTACAACATTTCACCTTCAACTGATAGAAAATTGTATTTTACAACCTCGGTAGCATAATCAGTTCACGGATGAAAAGCAGCTGAGGCAACACATTACGAAAAACTCCAATGATAGCAGATGTAGTACTCATACTTCTAAAATAGCCCTGCCTCAAAGCAGCTGACTCATGGTAACATGCCTGCGTGGTGCCTCCCCTCTCCGGGAAGCAGCTGCTTTACCATGTGCTCAGCAGAACTTCAGGCAGCAGCACAGCCTGGGTGAGCACTCGCACTGCCCCGAGGACGGAGACGAGCTGCTCGATGGACGTGTCCAGGGAAGTTCGGAGGAGCTGGGTAGGTGGCAGAAGTGCTAAGGAACGTAACAGGGTGGGATTGAGACAAAGGTGCCAGCTTAGGGGCTTGGAAGTATAACAAGAAGGAGCAAAAGCGTGTTAAGAGGCCAGAACTGAGAGTAAGGAAAAGCAAGAGGTGAGAATAGGCCACGTTATATTGTCTCTAAAAGAATAACTGGGCAGGGTACTCTTGAATAACTAAATACTTTAAGTATACAGATAAATATAATTCTTTTACTGGGCAGATGATCACATCCCTGTCACATAATGATGAACCCCTTTTTTTCTGGCCTTTGGATTATTACAGGAAAGCTGTTCTGACAACCAGAAAACTTTTAATATATATCCCAGACTTATTTGCAGACAATTTACATCTTTTTTCTGTAGTGCCAATACTGTCTTTTAGCTTAAGTAGTTCTCTCTTCCTAGTCTTTGGCTGCAGATTCATCTATAGAAAGAAATTATTCATTTCTCAGCTTTCATTCTGTGGGCTAAAAAAGCCATGCCTTCAGATTCTTCTTTATACTCTCCATACCAACCTAGTAGCTCTTGTGGCTATTATTTCACAGCACACGTATGTTTCTTTTATATGGCTGCCCAGAAGAGTATGTTGAATTCCTGATTAAACCTCAACAAGGGTCTGCAAATAGTGTTAGTGCTTCCTTATCTTTCCTGGAAATGAACCTTAAGAATTCAGTTTTTCACAATTAGATGGTATTAATGACTTATGCTACCTGGAATTAATCTGCAAGCATCTGTTATGGTCCCATGTCATCTTATTAAAATAAACTGTTGCTAGTATATGACCCACAGGGTATGACCATGATTTTACCCTATTTCTTTTTCCCCAGTCACAACAAAATTTACCCTATGTGATACTCTCATCCTCCTCTTTATAAATAGTCACTTCTGATAAAGCATTAACAGTGAATTTCATTATTGCTTGTTTAAGACTTAAATACCTTAAGAGTAAATTTTGAGAAAATTCATAAATACGCTTGCTCCAATCCTATACTTTCTTTCATTTCTACAGGTTGCTATTTCTCTCACATCTATTCCAAATTCCCCTTGGAATTCCCATCCTGTCAAGTTCAGTAAAAATAGTTCAGGTGAAGAATATCTTAACTGACTTCCTCTGCCTAAGTAAGTAAAACCAACAGACCAGTACAATCTGTTTTGTGAAAATGACATGGCATTTTGTTTCACTGACTTTTTAACTACTCTTTAAAAGTTTCAAGGTTTCTTGGAAGCCTCAGTGCTGTTACATGCAGACTGTGTGCACAGACCAGAGGCACTCAGTTAGCTCCTAGAGCTTATTTACCAGGCCAGGACCATTTGAAAATTATGCTGGAAAGCTACACTAGTAAACTTTCTTGATGATTTGTTAGCCTCAATGCCAAATAGATTTTCTTTTCATGGGCAGTGCTATCGTTCTTTGGAATCTACTTTTTAACATTCTGCATTTTTATTTGTAAACTTCAATAAAGTTATTTGAAAGAAACGTTTGTAAAAAACCCGTCTTTTGTACTCGACTTTAAAATAGCAAACAATGTCAATATTTACAAGGAAACTTCCAAAAGAACACAGATTTAGAGTAGGGGGTCCACAGTTTTTAATGGATCTCAGGATTAGCAGTAGATACTATTACTTGCATTTTCTGCCTCTGACAAATAATTTTGAAGCAACTTGCATATCCCTAATGGTATCCCTATCACAGTTTGGGACTGATTATACTTATTTTTAGGCTTTGGTAAGTATGAAATTAAAGAAAGAAATCCACTTTGCAAAAAAAGGAATGTGAAAGGAAAACAATATGCTGCTAACTAAATATAAACTTGGGATAGATGAGAATTATTCATTAAAGGCCCGATTGAAATTACCAGCTATGGTGCCTAATTATACTGATTTTCTTCCTGTCAGAAGCCTCTCCTAATAATTTTAGTTTGCATTACTTAAACACAACAGAATTACCTCATGCAGACACATTTTAGCTCTAGAGAAGTGTAGTTTAATATAATAATTACATAGATTACGTGTTAGTATTTTTTTTAATCACAAGTATCACGTGGATTTGATGTAATATAAGTAAGTTTTTTGTTCTACTGATAATTCATTAGATTAAAAATGGTGCTCAAACACAACAAAAATCAGAGCAAGATAATTACCTAGACAGGAATTTTTCAACTCAAGTCCATTTTCACCAAATGAGGCATTTTTAATAAAAAGACTGCATATATAGTTTTGCGCTGTAAACCGACTCTTTAACGTGAAGATCATAAAGGAAAAATCCTTTATCAATAAAAGTAAATTTGAACTAGAAGATCAAATCCTTCACTGATAAAAGTAAGTTTGTACTAAAATATCGTGCTCCTCTTCAGAGAGACATTATGAGAAAATTATTGGGATAATTTCTAGTTCTGTTCTAGAGCAACTGGAGCAAGAAGTATTTTTAGCAGTCTGATCATTATTCTGGCATCTTAACCAATTGACCCGTTCACCTGGTCTGCGAGATACCTGGTATGATGATCTCAGGGACATCCAGAATGTTGCCAAATGAAGCAGTTTTACGATGGCCTCGTTTAGGCTTGGAATAGGCTGAAAAAATACACATATACAATACACATGCAAAACACTAAAATGGCAATAGCAAAATTATTCAATTCCTAATACTGCACTTTTCATAAACTTGGTTAAACTATAGTTCATGCAAAAATGTGTCATGCAGAATAAACTGCATTGCCTTCCATTCATGCTTACACATAGTAAAGCAATTGTTAAAAAGCAAAAAATGCAGAACTAGCCATCATTACAACACCGTGTAATTAGTTATAGTTAGCAACACAAAAGTCAAACACAGAAAAAAGCAGCATGGCAACAAGGAAGGGAAAACCAAATGTAATTATCCAAACAGAGAACAAATTTCATTGTTTCAGATCACCTGTATATTCAGAATAAATTATTGATTGGCTGAACTTACATAACATTTTGTCTTTAGTGTTGGGTACAAACTATTTTACAAACAAGTTTAATAGCTTGGTACTTATGTTTCTTTAAATCACCACCTTTTAAAGGAAATCTTATCTGCCTCTGAAAAAAATGCTTACTCTTATTACATTTGACAGTCATTCCTGCCTTCCATTCTTTTGTCTTATTAGTAAAGATTTTTTTGTTTTGCAAACTGGATATCACTACCAACCTTTTCATTTTTGAAGGATGTTCAAGAAATATTACATACTTTGGAATAAAATCTACTTGTGTAGTTTAAGATAAATAGTCCCCACTTAGAGAATAGTCTGAATACATCTCCCAAAGGTAGAACATTGCAGCATATCCATCTCAAACTTAGTAAGTAATGGTGATGTACATTATGTGATTTACACTTAATCTAGTGATAGACAGCTAGAAATATTTATTGACCTGATTTAACAACAGCCAATTTCTCACCCAGCTACACAATTTTTTTCAGGTTCATAGCATATTATTTCTGTCACATATTTAAAAAACAAAGCAATACCAATACAGTGCTGTTTCAGCTCTTTCTGAAAAAGTTACAGATAGGTTTGACCTCATTTCTAGTAGTCCACTACTGCCTGAAGTGAAGAATTAAAAAAAAAAAAAAAAAAAAAAAAAATTAAATTAAATTAAAATGTTCAATATATACTTTCATTTCAAAAAATAAACCCTACAGTCATAACAACAACAACAAAATCTTAGAATATTCTGAAATAATAATTACTATTGAGAGCAATGTACTCAAGGAAGACAAACCAGGAAAATTAAAAACTCACACAAAGGAGGGCCAGGTTATCTCCACTAATATAAAAAACTCATATTGACTTTAGATTGTCAGTGACCAAAGTGAGTCCTGACATATTTTAAAATAGAACCAGCATGTTATTATTATCAGGTAAGTACACAGCTGCCTTCTGTGTTAGGAAACTTTTACAGATATTCAAGGTGAGATGTGCTACACAATCATCCAGTCAAAGACTGACAATACAAAAGACAAATCTTGGGATAAGGCTTTAAAATAAGAACATAAAAGTAAAAAAGTGTTTAGGGCAAGAGAATATATTATTTCATGAGTAACTGCAGTATTTAGCAAAACAAGATCCTGGAGCAATCATAATACAATGAAGAACAAAAATGAAATAGTCATGGTGAACAAGAAAGCCAGAATATAATGCATATTTCCTTATTAATTTCAGCTACTCAATTACCCTAATTTTCAGATTGGTAGAAAAGTACTAGAACAGGTAAATACCCTTGATTAACCAAAATAACTTGGTCTGTTTATTTAAATCTGTGTTTATATATAATAACAAAAAAAGTTTCACATATGAAACTTAAAACTTGAAATTTGTAATTTGTATAGATTATCAAACAGTATCTTTGATGAAGAAGAGAGACAAGAAAATGTTTGCCAAATATACACATTTTTATTAATTCACTCTTCTGGGAAGAATAAAGACTGCTTTCACTGTAAAATTATGTATTTATACTTACACAAAAATTTCAATTCACTCAAAGATTCAATCTTTAGACACAATAGTTTATAGCTACCTGAAGCAAACCTGGCAAAACACCTATAGCCCTTTTTTTTAAAAAAAAAAAAAACAAACCCAAACCCAACCAAAACCCAAAAAACCAAAAACCAAACAAACCCAAAGGATACCAATGAGTTGTTAATCTGATTAATAATATCTAACTACGTTTCTCTTTCTGAAATCTGCCAAAATGGATTTTAAGAATTATTTGGGAACATGCTGAACTTTAAACCCACTTCTTAATTTTAAAATATTATAGGAATAACCTTGATGGAAATGTTATTTTAGAAATAATTATGCTAGCAGAGATACAATAACATTATTTCAGATGCAAAGAAGAAAGCTGTGCGTTTGGAGTAGGACTGATATTTAGCAGTCTCATAATTATTTTTAAAAAGGTAGAAATCTAATTCAACAAAAGTAATCTCTTCCACAACCTTAGAAGTGCCCAATTAAAATACTCAACCTTGTTGAGTGTACCACTGTGAATGAAACCATTTTCCTCTCACAATTAATAAAGGACAATAAAGGCTACATGAAAAGTTAAAGTACTTTCATACAGCTAATGGTATTAACCTTCTGTAAGGCTATGCATATTTTAAATCTTTCTTCCTCCTTTCCTTCCTTCCAATTCCTTAGCTTATCTCCCAAATATCCTTTAATTTTACCTGTGATGGAAGCTATTCTTGCTTCTATTTCAGACATGTCAGCACTCATCCTTTTGGCTTCTCCTGAAACAAGGGCTGACTGTGGTCGCGCACGAGCATCTGACAAGCTCTCCACGCTGCTCCCACGAGATGGGGGTAAACTCAAACGGCCAGGGTCACCCTGTTTCAACAGTCACATTTTTAAAAAGAAAAATAAAAAAAAAAAAAAAAAAACTGCAGAAGCCCTTCCATGACATGCACAGTATGTCGGTTAATATATATATTTCTATAATGTGCATTTTAAAAGTGACAAGATTTAAAATTTATAATTCAATAAATGGCAATAATTTAGCTATTATTGGCTTACAAGAACCAAATACCTGCAAACTTCTAAAGAATCTAACCTTACCTAGATAAAAATTGCGTAGAATTAGGCCAATATTGTCACAAAAGAATCTTTGTATTTTTTCAGCCTACTTGAAATAAAATATAGTATCTTCAAAATTCACATAAATCTTTAATCATTTCACATCATACTAATATTTTGTTTCTAAATTAAGGCAGCAAATTTCAAATACAATTTGTTTTTAACCTAATGAATCCCTTTAAATAAAATGAACTATTTTTTTATTTCATTGGCGATCTTACTAGAGCCTTTCAGTTTACCTTTTTGGAATCATTCAATATTTTTCCATCCCCTTTCATGTTCTTTTCCTATAACTAACTGGCTCCAGTTTTGTACTGTTTTTGAAAGAAGACACTAATGTTTCCTAGCAGGTACAACACTTTTGTCCATCTTCGTACATTTCATTATTACGGTTCAAAATTGCACGTGTTGGCTTACCGGCTGCTTGGCTGTATTTTTCATTTGCTGCGCTAATTTTGACTCTAAACGTTTAATGGTGTCATTAGTAGAAGCTCCTTGGAAGTCACTTGGTTCCACGTTAACATCACTCTTGTTACTTGTGTTTGTAGAAGTGATGTCCATGAATGAACCTAGAAATCAAGAACAAGGAAAAACATTTGAGAATTTCCATTAAAAACACTAAAGTGCATCTTTGCACTTGAGCATTCTCAGAAGCCCAACTTTGCTTTAAAGCAACACTTTTGAAATTTTTTAATGAAAGGCAGGCTGCAAGACTGCAACAGATCCATTAATGTAAAAAGTAAAAGGAGTGATAAAGACAGAATACACAACTAAGTACTACAATGACATTCAGAAGTCAATCTTTAGCTTGCTCGGAAATTGTTGGGGTAGATATTAACAACACAACCAGCAATTCACAATTCATGTGTCATTCACAATTAATGACAAAAGTCCACTATTAACCATAGGGGCACACAAATACCTGAAAAAATAACAGACAACACATATTCACAGTTTAAAGTGATAAATCATATCGTAGAATCATGTGCTGAGGGGTGAACAGCTAGTAAAATCAGTACCATGCTACAGCTGAAAATATTTTGTAATATACAGGTCACTGACTTGCAAAGTAGCCAAGGAAACTTTATCCAAAATAACAGCAATTCATCTGGAGACAGAAAACAAACCAACCAAGCAGTGGAAGGTGAAGACACCCAAGATTAAAAACAACTGAAGTGGGAGAACTGTATGCTTAAAAAATTAAAAGATCAAATGAACTTTATTTTCTATTATTTAAAGGATTTCTCTGAGGGCAAGACTATCTCAGAGCCTAGCCCACATTTTCTTCCATTCACCTTTTGAGTGATTTCCTTGCACTTAATTTAAACAGCTGTATTTACTGCATCTTTACATAAAACAACTGCAAGTTTAAATTGTTGAGATCATAACTGAAAGCAGGTGCAGCTTTCAAGAATAGTAAAAAATTTAAAAATGC